ACTTAGTAGAATACTAGAATTAGAATTATAAGATTATTCTAGAGGAAAAAGTAAAGTTAAGCTTAAAAGGAATATACCCTATAGCACCTAAGTATAATACTAAGCTATAGAATTACCTCTAAAAGAACTTAGAGAAGAGATTTATCTAACTAAGATTGGGCCTAATAGCCTTACTTATTTTATTTATAAAAAATCCTAATAGGAAGTAATAACTATATATTAACTTTAGGAGGTTAAATAGTATGACTTAGAAGAACTAATATCTTTTACTACTAATTATAGAGCTTATAGATTAACTCTAGAGAACTAAGTAGTTTATAAAGTTTAATATTTAGAAAGAATTTTACTAAATTAGAATTAAAGAAGGTTATAAATGGATAATAGTATTTAAGATAATCTATAGACTCTTTAAGTATATAGTTATACTATTTAGATTAATAAATATACTAGTAACCTTTTAATTAGTTATTAATAATATACTTTATAAAGATCATAGAATCTTTATTACTATATATCTAGATAATATACTAGTATATACTAGTAGTATACGTAAAGAATATATTAAGTATATTAAAAAGGTCTTATAAAAGCTTAAGGAATATAAGCTATAGGTTTTACTAAAAAAGTATAAGTTTTATATACAAGAAATAGAATTTCTTAGATTTATTATCTTAACTAAAATTATAAAGATAAACTTAAAGAAGATATAGGCTATATAAAACTAGAAAGAATCTAATATAGTTAAGAATATTTAATTCTTTTTAAAATTTATAAACTATTATTAGAAGTTTATTAAGAATTACTTAAAAATTATAGTACCTCTTATAAAGATAATAAAGAAGAAAATAGATTTTAAATAGAAATAGGAATATAAGAAGGCTTTTAATTAAATTAAGTAGATATTGTTAGAGGCGCTAGTACTTAAGATATATAGCCCTTAATAACCTACTAGAGTTAAGACTAATACGTCTAACTACGTACTTAGAGCTATATTATTATAGTAGTACCTAAATAAGAGATAGAGACTAGTATTCTACTATTTATAGAAGTTCTCTAGAGTAGAACCTAACTATAATATTTATAATAAGAAACTACTTAGAGCAGTTAATACTTTTAAATAATAAGAGATATAGGTACTAGAACTTCCTAATATAATTAAGGTTTTTACTAATTACTAAAACTTAATAAGTTTTATAATAACTAAGAAACTTAACTAATAATAAGTATAATAAGTAGAGATACTAGCTTAGTTTAACTTTAAAATTACGTACTACGTAAGAATACTTAATAGAGTAGTAGAGGCTTTAAGTAGAAGATTTAATTTACGTAAAAAAGGTTATAAAGAACTATATAACGTCTTACTTAAGATAATACTTAATAGTAGTCTAAGGTATAACTAGCTAGAACTAGCTAAAGTAGCTAAGGTAGCTAAGTAGGTAGAAACGTTATAGCAAGAATAGCAGCAGCGAGTAGCTAGCTAGTAGTTTAAGCCTAATAAAGTAGGCTCTAAGGAACTATTAAATAATAAGTAAGAGTACTAA